TTTATTTTTCATTTATTTGTTGTGTCACTATAAAAGCCTTTATAAAATTAAATAAACATGTGATACTTATACATTTATACATAAAATATCTACTTAATTAATTTGGATAAGAAAACTAAATTACTTTGAATAAAAAAATAGTTAAATTAATTATTTATAAAAAACATATTAGTTTCTAAATATATTCTTAAATTATAAATTAATCCTCACTTTATTTTATCATAACTCACTACTCAAATTCAAGATTCGAAGCCTAATTTTAACATTTCAAATTAAGTTCAACCTATATTAATAATAATAGTTTTTATTTTAAAAAAAAATATCTAGGCGGGCTGGCGGGCTGGCCCGCCAACCCGCCTTGGCGAGCTCGGGCTGGCAAAATGCCAGCCCGCCAAGTAGCCCGCACCGCTTTGGGCCCGCACCGCCTCGGGCTGGCCCGCATCCGCACCGCCAGCCCGCATTACCACCTCTAGATATAAGTTTATTTCTTTTAACCATGATAATAATTTTATGATTTTAAGATTTCTTCTTTCCTATCATGGTTAATCTTTCAACTCAATTATTTAATTTAATTTTAGCAAGTTTTGTAAGAACGATCATTGCATGCCAGTTTTGGGAAAAAAGGATAAATCAAGTACTTGAACTACGAAACATGTTATATTAAAAGCAAGTTTTCAAAAAGTTGACATTTTTTAAAAAAAGTTACATCCCTTCCACAACCCATGTTTGGGAGAAGTTTTTAGAATGATTTAAATAAGAGTTCCTTTCTTCTAGGATCAAACCTGACTTAGTAGTTCGATGCTAATCAAAATGATCCTGCTAGTGTAATTAAATAAGATGTTACATTGAAAGTAACTTATAAATATAACTCAAAGAATGTATTTTTACTACCCTTAGAGAGCTTTAAAATATTTATAAATATCTTGACAAGCTCCTCCTCCTGCTAGAAACCTACAAAATTTAAGAGATTATTATTACTTTCAAGACTAATCCTATATTTAGGACTAAAATGATGATTTATTACTCATACTGCCACTTATTATAAGAAATAACTATTAAAATTACATAATTCAAAATGTTAATTAAATTTAGTTAAAATAAATAAATGTATATAACGGCACTAAAAGTAGAAAGAATGATATAAAATTTCAAAGAAAAATAATTTGTTTACTATATTTAAGGACACCACTATGAGAGATATCATTTTTTATAAAATGAGACAGAGAGAGTATCATACTAATTAGTACATAGTTGGAACGAATTATTATTAAGATTTGTAATTTTCAATATTATGCTATAATTCAAAGGTTTTAAATGCAATTTGGGCACTATGATGCTAGGGCATAAGAAAAAGAAATAATGAATGATGAGCATGCAATAAAATTCAAAAAGAGAGAGCGCATAAAGATTAGTCGTAAAGGTTATTATATGACTTTGTGTGACAAATTGATGATATAACATAATCTTCAGAATCATGAACAACAGTGACTCCCACAAAATCAAAACATTTTCCTTGAAATGCATAATGCCTGCTACTGCCCCCACCTCCTGTCAATCAAGTTGATAGATAGGTACATAGAAACAAACCGCATTTGAGCCAAAAAAATAATTAAGAAAATAAAAAATAGAAAAAACATCAGAAAGGCATTTGTCATTTTCTCCATTGAAGTGACCTCATTGGTAAGCCCATCACCATGAGAACTCTTTTCATTCATGTTCTTGGATTTGACAACATTTAGGAATTACTTGGTTGTTTCCAATCACAAGGTTAAAAAAAAAACTAAAATTATTCTTTCCTCCTGGTATGAGAGAGATTTTTTTCCATTTAGAATAATACCCATCTGAATTAATTAGTAGGAGAATTCCATTTAAGGAGGTGTTTGGATGAAAACTAAACTATGCTTTCAAAAGTGTTTTTACAGTTTATGAAATAAATATGTGAAAGAGTTTGTCTCGTTTTGTGAAAAAGTGTTTTTTAAGAGCACTTGTGAGGGTTGCTAAAAACCCCCTAAATCTAACTAAAATACTTAAATCCAAATTCAGATATATACTTTTAACAAATTTTAATTAGATCATGAGGCCTTGTTAAGAATTTCTGAATATTGGTAAATAACTAGAATGTCCTTCTTTAATTAAAAAGAAAAATTGATTGTTTTACTCCATCCAAATAGTTCCTCTTTTCTCTTATAATTATTTTTTTGGGACTAGAAAACATGCAAATAATTTTATAATGTTTAAAATTTGTATATATAACTAAAACCTTTTAAAATATTTTAATCAAAAATTTTAAATTATAATAAAAGTACCCTTTAAATAATTTTTTGTATTTTCAGGTTGTAAATATTTATTTTTAAGATTTTAAAATATCTTAATTATAAGAAATATTTTATATTAAGTTGTTGGAAATTACGTTTTTGGAGTGGAATCCAACGTTTGCTTAAATAATAAGAATAACATAAATTATAAGTACATAATATTAAATTCTTTTTGTAATCAAAATATTTTAAGATCTTAAAATAAATATTTATAAACATAAAATAAAAATTATTATTTTAAAGCTACTTATGTTGAAATTTAAAATATTTTATTAATATATTTTTGAAGTTTTCAGTTATATAAACAGATTTTAAACACTATAAATTTTTTATGTGGTTTTGGTCCTAAAAACAATTATAAGGGGTGAGAGATCACTTGGGAGGAATAAAATAATTAATTTTTTATCTTAATTAAAGAGAGGAATGCTAGTTATTTAACAACATTCAGAAATCCTAAATTAAGCCTTATAACTAAAGAAATTATGTATTAGGTGAGCGTTATCTTCTTTAGGGTTTTATACATGACCAAAAAATGCAATAAAGAAAACTATAATATATTAGTGATCTTCTTGGAACTTTACAAGTTTGCGGTGTTGTGAACTCTTAAAAATTACAAGCACTCTTTTAGTTCTATTTATAGGATCAAAAGAGAAAGAATTTTTTTGGTCCCATTTATAAGGTAGAAAAAGATATAATGTATATTAAATAGGAATAAAGTTAGAAAGTTATTCAATTTTAATGTAAGTTAATGCAGTTGAAGATTTTTCTTAATATGTTGAAATATATTGGAAGTGACCTACAAATAGAGGAATACTTAAGTTGAACTTTAATCATTTACAAAATTATTTTTAACTTGAACAAAATTTCAATTTTTTCAATTTTTACATAGAATTATTTCATATGTAGTTCTTGATTTACTATTTCATATGTATAATTTTGTTCTTATAACACATTAAACAGTAAGGAGAGTTATCCCTCATAAAACAAAACGATAAACGAAGTTCATGCACATGCCAAGACATGTGTGAGACCTACCATAAACTAATTTTCCATAAATAAATCATCTATTGAAATTTATGTTTTAAAAAGAGAAAAAATCGCATTACAGAATGAACTAATTATTAAATAGTACGTACATGTTAGCCATATAAAATTTTCTAATCACAAAAACCAATATTATGTTATTAAAATAATCTCACGCTCTGATCACTAGTTATTTAATCAAATCAAAAGGTAAGGACGGCTAAAATAAAAAGTGTATATTTGTAGCCATTAATTAAAGAAGCATTAAAGTAACAACCAAGCTCTCCAGAGTTTAGATTCGTATCTGTTCCAAATAATATTTTTTAGAGTAAAATACACATTAAGAAAATATATGAGGTTATATATGCATACAAAATGTTGCAAATTGTAAAAGTAATTAATTCTCATACACAAGTGTGTTATGGCCACTTATAATTTTCAATACTCATATGAAGTGAATGATTAATTAATTATATTTAAACTGACGAAGGAATCTGTATATTAAAGGATATACGCATGCACAAATAGGGTAGCATGCACATGCAAAATGATTAAATGCCAACCTCGTTTCCCTGGAAACCAACAGATAAGACTGAATAAATATAAATCACTTTATTTCTAACAACGAAGTGATATAAAAATAATACATAATCAGATTCAGAATTATAATTAAACACTTCAAGTTGGTGGATAACAGTGAAAGAAACAGAAAAGCCGATCGAGGAACTAAGGAAAGAAGCACGCATTCCCCCCCCCCCGTCTCACATATCCCTAGGGGGAGAGAAAAAAAGGAGAAGACTGACAAGAAAAGTCAAGCTTTATATTAGAGTAAATAGTGTACTACTATCTTTTTTAACCCTATAAATCCTTTTGTCATCTTTCATGAAGTTGATGATCTGAGAAAAAGCTTCTTTTTTCCGTTTTAGAGTAATCAATCCCAATAAATAATAATAATAATTTCCGCTTTCTCTCTCCCCCTCCCTTCACTTTAAGAGATGAAAGAAAGAGATAGACAGCCCCATCTTTTTTATCATCAATCTACTCACTCCCTCACTCAGCTCTCTTTCTTTCGAGTCATATGTCTCTCTCTATTTCCATCTCCTCAACGTACTCTTTAACTGTAGAAACCCTCTGTTGCTCTCAGCTTTCTGTCCCATCCATCAATATTCCAAAACGAATGTGGGACTCTCGGAGTTTGCTTCCACCAATCAAATTCTCCCTCTCTCCTTCTCTCTCTTATATATATACGCACGTATATACACACATGAGTACGTGGTTTTTTACTGAGTGTTAATTAATTATTTTATCTCTCTGACTGTTGTTCTGGTAAATAACAAGACAGAGATGGTGCAAAGAAATCCCTCATAACTCCAGTGTACGACATAGCTTCACTGCTATAGGGGCTATGTAGAGAGGTAGGTTTCCTAATAATTCATATTCTTTGACAGTGAGTTGGCACACAATAAATTATGTAGTTTTAAAATTTTAATTTCAATTCTTATAATTGAATTATTAAATACAAATTTACCCCCCAAAAAAGTAATAGTCCATGAAGCAGATTTTTTTAAAAGAAATTCAACAATAAATATAATGAGGAAGGAATTAAAGTCAATCTTTCTCTAACATAATGGCTCCAGCAAAACTTAAAAAAAAAAAAAAAACAAATTTCTATGACATTACCCTTTTTGTAAAGCAGGTGAAAAAGATTATAACATGACCTTGAATTAATAATAACAATAACCAGGAAAAAAAAGATTATAAAAGAAGATATTAATTAAGGTGTGATGATATAATTATAAGTGTAATGAATAAATTTCTTTCAAGGTCTTGTTATAATCCTCTCTTTGTTGGTTCTTCAAAGGAAGTGGTGGTGGTGCTGTGAATATGATTTGCTGATGCTGATGCAGATGATGACGATGACCAGTCAAAGAGATTGAAAGGATCTAAAGCTTTGGATTCTCTTTGATGATGATGATGATGCTGATGACAATGTTCTTCATTGAAACCTGCTTGAGTGAACAAGAGATTCAGTGGGTCAGCTTCAATCTCTCCCAATTCTGCAAAGAAATCCTCAGATGACTGATTATTATTATTGCTTTCCAACATACATGGCTTGTATCCCACTCCACCTTCTGATGATCCATTATTGTTATTAGTATCATCTTCCATCATCAGATTCTCAAGCTCTTGTTCTTCATTCTGGTTCATCTCTGTTATCTCCCCCATCATCTCCAACTCCATCTCCTCCTTCACCGATGATGATGAGCTTTTCCCTCTCTGATGATGATGATGATCTTCCTGCTGCTGCTGCTCGTCCTCCTCCTCATCCTTCGGCTTCATGCTGCCACCGTCTCGAGGTGGCGGCCGAATCAAAACTTGATCGGAATTGTTGCTGTTCTTATTACTGGAAGCACTGTTGTTGTTGTTGTTGTTCTTGGAAGGCTGAGACCTTGTTGAGCCGGCAAGAGCGTTTCGTTGAGTCGGCCATGGATGGTTGTGCTCTGAAGTGTAAGTGATGACCAGCATGTTTGGGTCTGTCCTGCTTCTCTCTACTTGTTTTCTAGCTGAACAACCCTTCGAACTGCTGCATCTGTAGTAACCCCTGGAAACACAGACATATATAGATATATATATATATAGCTAGACATATATACATATAATATATATACACACTAAATTAAACACATGAATTAATGCTTCAGGTACGGGAACATGGTGATATAATATTGATAGATAGGCTTTTTGGTTTCGATTGATGATTTGACTCTCACTGGAACCTCAGACTCGTATTTCAAGAGATATGTAACTCTATACTAGGACTAGAGGGCGTGTAATTCTAGCTATGTGATTCAGATCACTATAACTGGGTAAGTGCTTTTCATGTTGTAGCTAAGTGGAATAAATCATTTTAGAGATATTATTAAGGTCTTCAAAAGTAGACGAGGTTCAATAATTTTCTAAAACTTATAGTAAATTTCGAAACTATTCAAAACTTTTTTTAAAAAGAAAATAGTAATAATTTACATCATATATATATCCGTTAGTAGCTTTAACTGTTTAAAAATAAATAATTAATTAATTTAGGATTCAGCTCCTTACATGTAATTTTAACTGCAGTTGATCGACGAGAACCATTTAAGGAAGACCAGTTTTGGAAAGACATTTTGACACCAATGTATTTTCATTCTAATAAAAATAAGGCAATTGGTTTAAGTAATGACAGAAACTTAACACTACTCAAATAAGGTGTCAAGTTCTATAGCCTAACAGACAAAAGAAATCCTGTGAAGGGAGGGAGCTTTTCTTCGATTGGGTCTACTTCATTAACCTCACATATAAATTCATTAACAATATATAAGCAATTGAACTACTATACATAACAAATATATTTTGACTTCGTGACATGTCCTAATCTTAATGAGCCCCAAAAACCCAATTCACATAAACTTACATTTTCCTACCCAAGAAAGAAAACAAATTAAATCCCACATATTATATACTTAACAGAGAGATAGTAAGATCATGCATAGAAGGGGATGAAGTTAAGCCATAATTATTATGGTGGTTATTATAATAATAATATTATTATTATTATTAAATTATTATAGTTACCTTGGGTAAGGAGAACCTTTGATGGGTTTCTGACCGTACTTTCTCCAAGCCCACAAATCAGAAGGAACTACTTCTCCACTACTTGGTCTGCTATTTGCAGCTGCTGGTGCAGGTATACATACCACCTTCTTCGCCTGGCTCTTTCTGCAGGCACACATACACCAATCCATAATTCTCTCATCAATAATCTTATTTCTAATTTATCTAATCATTATTATTATCACCATCTCTGAACAATTAGATATAGCTCTATCTATCTGTAGGCCCCCTATCTATATATCCCATAATGTTGAATCTGCTAGCTGCAGACTGGGAACTGTAGAAGCTGTTTGATTTGGTGTTCAGAAGAAACAGTACTGCGGCTAATAAGAATAAAGCAGAGTATGGAATTTATGACATCAAATTTAAATGAATAGGACTTTTCAGGTGAGGTAGGCCAAAATTTACAAGTTTCAGATACATATCATTGAACTCATTGAAAGCTTAGTCTATAATTGTTAACTTAATTTTCATCCGCTGGCCTTAATTAACCAAAATATCATCTCTTTCATTAAATATAGCTCTCAAATATTAATATCGACTATATAATTATATGGGTGTTGGTCACCTCTGAAACTTGATCATGCTTCTTCTTGTTCTCAGTCAAATCAGCGAAAAGTAATACTAGTAGTAATAGTAGTAATAATAATAAGAGCCACCTAACTGTGGCAAACCCTACTTTCTCTGAAGCTCACACCATGATTTTATGGGGAATTCCAGTTCCCAAAAACGGCCGTGATTAGTTCACTTTTATGAAATTAATGATGAAGCAGAAAAATAAATTTTGTTCTTTCTGTTCACTGAAATCCTTGGGAAGAAGAAGAAGAAGCTGGCATCTTGATCCATCGCATTTAATTTGCACAGAGATTATAAAAACAAATAAGAATAATTATTAATAGACTCACGGTTTATATTATAACTCACCTTCGCTTGAGACCCGGATTCCTTGGAGACGAGATCTGCACCGCCGCGTTGTCCACGGTGATATTCATGTTGACTGCTGCAGAAACCAAAGAAGAAGAAGGCTCAATTCCCCTCCGCGATGGCAACGACGATGAAGACGAAGAATTCATGGCGGCGGCGGCGGCCATATTCACCGGAGGAGTAGAAGAATCACACGGCGAAACTGGTGGTGGTGGTAACTTGGCGGCGGCGTTGTTCAAACTGCTGGGAGAGATCTGAATCATGTTGGAGAATATGGTATTATTGTTACAAGCTGTGGCTGCTAAAGCAGGCCTTATTCTTATATCGTCTTCAACAAGCTTGTGGTGATGAGACAAAACAAGAGAAGAAGAAGCAGAAAACCAGGAGACGCATCTTCCATGACAGAATTATTAGTAGCAGAACTGAAGTATGAAGAAGGTAAGGGAAATCAAGGTCTTGCAGAAAGGGATCTCGCATGTTCGAGAAGGGATCGCAGAAGACGTTGGTGGCTCTGTGAGAATCTTCCATTATTACAGAAGAGAAATCCATCTGGTGGTGATGATGGTGGTGGTGCCAACTTTCCGATGAAGAAGAAGGGAGATCATGGGGAGCTAATTCTGATGTTGAAGAAGTACCATATGAGCCGCCGCCACCTCCGCCGCCGCCACGGCCACCCCCGCTACTACTTGCTCGGAAAATGTCAGTTAAATCGCCTTGATGATAATTGTTGTCCATGATTATTGAGCCAAAGATACTGCTGCACATCCTTTTTCCTCAGTGGAGAGATATTGCTTCAATCAGAAAGAGGAGCGAGTCATAGCTAGTAGTGTCAGTCATGTACGTTTTAATCTGCTTGATTTGCATGCAAATTAATCCTACTTAGGAGAATAGAAGAAAGCAATAAGGAGATGATAGGGAGAAATATATAGAAATAGGTCAGAGAGAATTAAAAGCTTTGAGACTAGTGATTGCCTTTGTGTGTGTGAGAGAGAGAACAATAAGGAGGAGGAGGAGGAGAAGAATGAGATGAAGAAGAAGAAGGAGGAGCAAAAGATTAGAGAGAAATCGGCTTAGAAGAGAGAGACGCTGACTTTTCACTCAAAACAACTTCATTTCCATACGCAACATGATGAGAGATAAAAAGGGGAGAGAATAAAATAAGGAGACATTTGGGAGTAGCGTAGAATAATGATAAGTCTAATTTATTTGAGCTGGGAGGGAAATTTATTATAAACCATTAAATAATGGGTCAAGTTAGTGGTAGTTTATTCTCTCTCTCTCTCTCTCTCTCTATTTGATTAAGAAAAGATGTCATTACATTACAGAATGGTCATTTCTCGAAAACAAGTGATGAGGAACTAAAGAGGCGGCAAGTAGCCGCATTTCCCGGAGAAACGTTTCGAAACTTTGAACCTAATTTTGCCGTTTCTTTCTTCCGATTTTTAAAAGAATACATGAGATTATTATTAATATTAGGAGAGCTATATAGGTCTCTTTTTTTCTTTTCGCATAACAAAACTTGATCCGTATAAGCACTTTTCGCAGTTCAACCTTCTCCAGATACGACTACAAAAATTTAATTTTCTTTTATAAGGGGAATTTACGTAAGAAATATGGATTCAAATTTTATGATATATAAGTTTTAAAATTTTTGAAATTAAGAAGCCAGTCCATTTTTTTCCTCTAATCATTTTATTTGATCCAATTACAATTAGTTAATCTCTCTACTGATTACCTCTAAATTAGAAAATGCACTGATTTTGTATTATTTTCTCCGATTTTCCCACATATAAAAAAAGTCGATAAAAATGTAATTCATATATCCTACAAGAAAGCAATTTCAAATCTTGCTGTAACACTGGTAAAAAAATCTATAAATATCTTTTTAAATGTTTTTTTAATAATGAGACTTGCTCTGACTCTAGTGGTCGTCCTGAAACTTAATTTACACAAATGTCTTGTAACTGAGAGGACAAAGGAAGGACGGAAGAAAACTAACAAGTAATTAGTAAAAGTTTTAAGCAGTAAATCATGAATCTCAAAATTGTGGACCCAAATTATAATAAAACACTACACTAAGTTAACACTTGTTAAAACTCATAAATATTAAACACTACCCGATGAAGAATCAGAAATTAATTAATTAATCTCCTTATTGGAAAATTTTTCTTTTTATTTAGTTTTCCATTTTTATTTTACAAAGGCGATTTCGGTCCTTTAAAACGAAGTGGGAGAGTAGTATACATATATAATTGGTGAAGCGTTGGAGGGAAAATCAAACTCGTGAATAGTAATTTCAATAAGTTTGGAGGGTTTCTGTCATGAAAGAATGAAACAGTGGTGATAATTACACTCTAAACTTTTGAATCAAAGTTTAAGGCACTGTTTGGGGTACCAGATTTTAGGCCAAACAGCGTATGCTGTCTGACTCAAGTAAGTTTGAATAATCTTTGTTTCCAATAATTTATTTTCTCTTCGTCCCCTCGAAAAGATCCCTAGCTGCTACTCCTCCATGTGCTCTTATATAACAGATGAAGATTTCATTCAGACTTTAATTTAATGGCTTGAAAAAAATCGAGTTTTCAATTAAAACAATAAATGTGCACCTATTTCTCCTTTTAAATTTTTTCTTAAATTTTTAATTAAATTAGGTTTCACGAAGCTAATATGCATATTTACATAAATAGTTACAAATTATCAACTAATACAAATCTTACGTCGTCAACGAGCAAGATTCGAACCCATATATTTCTGGAAAATGTATTATTTTTAATTTTTATATATCAAATAATTTTGTCCTCTCTCTTAAATTGAAAACGGAAATAAAATTGATTGGATATGACTAGAGCGATAGTACATGTCTTGTGTGATTCATACAGCCTATAGACGAACATGAAGGGGCCTATAGACGATGTCATAGTAGTTATCAATTATAAACAACATTTGTTAAATATTCTGGCAAAACAAAAACACTATATGGACAGGATAGCTTATATGTATGCTTAAAATTTTTTTTCTTTTGTGGATATCATCTATTCGAATTAGGAGTGAAATAGACATTCGAAAGCACACAATACTCATGAAAATATAAAATTTAAACTTCTATTGTGGTCGGCCAAAAAAAAATATTTTCATTTTTATATGATACTGAAATTCGTCATTTTTTTTGTTTTCTAAAATAATAAAAAAAACTTTTTGTAAAGATTACATAATACATATAAAGAAACTCAAACTGGACAAAATTTATATTGAAAGAAATATTCAAGAGGTAAAATTATGTTACTCCCATGTAAGTACCAAAACATTACTACCATTATTTTGCATCAACTTAAGATGATGTGTACCAATTACGATATATACTCGTCCAAAAAAAATTGTGATATATACTACTACATTTGGTCCTAAATATAAAAGTTATTTGGAGATTTAATTTAGTCTTAACTATAAGATCTCAATTTATTTTGTTTCTCATGTTCATATATTGTTTTTCAAAGTAGTCCCTATGGTGATTACACATATTAAAAGTTCTATTAAATGATAGTTTAAATGCACATGACTAACAATAATATTTTAGAAAATATAATATATATTTATTACAAAGAGTTAACTTACTAATTATCTTAGCACCTCACTACAAAAAAACATGCTTTTAGCGACGGAGTTTATTCCGTCGCTAATTCCTTTATCGCTAATTGATTAGCGACGGAATTTCGTCGCTAATTACCGACAGAAATTTTTTGTCACTAATCCGTCGCTAATTCTTAACAGAAATTTCCGTCGCAAATTAGCGACGGAATTTTCGTCACTAATCCGTCGCTAACCCGATTTTTTAAAAAATAAAACAAAATACCACGTGGCACTCTACCAATTGCCACATCATCACTGGGGCCACCTCCACGTGTTGCTGCCACCTCACCTCTGCCTGCCACGTGTGCGCCGCATGTTACCACCACATAATTCCCTCCTCAAAGTGACTTCTCCATGGCTTGAACCCAGGACCTCCTCTGTGCACACGTGCGGCTTTACCAGTTGAGCTGCAATGAACCTATTGACTTATTATGTAAAATTAAATACATATATATAATATTATTTTACACAAACAGTTATATGCATGTATATTATTAAAAACTAAAAATATACTATATGATAATTTTAATCATAACTATTTTAATGAAAAATAATTTTTAAATATTTGTTTTACTTTTTTTATAATGTTTTATTTTTTTAAAAAATATTTTTAATATAATTTTAATTTCTAACGACACTAATTTTGAATTTTAAATCATAAATAATTTTTTATAAATATTTTTAAATTTATTTTTTAATTAACATTGATAAGATATACAATTTAATTATATATGTATTATATTACATTATATTATATTATCTATATGTGTTTTATATATTTGAAGAAAATCATTTACAATTAGTCAAAAATCTTGTTATTCAAAAAATAACTACTATAATAAAATCTAATAAATTATTCTATATAAAAAATTAAATGATTTGAATAGATTATAATAAGCAGTATTCTCCTACTTGTATATATATCCTATGTAATTTATTTTCTTAAAATTCTTTGTATATACCATTTGTTTTTATATTAAAGACTAAAATCAATCTATATCATGGGTATTAATTATATCGTGATTAAATTTTATTGTTTAATGATTGAAATTCAAAATTCACTTCAATATTAGCTTGCATTCATATAAATTCATTTTTTGGTTTTGAATCTCTATCATATATTATATATTTCAATATATTTTACATATGATAAAATTATTTCTTTCTTAAATCAGTTTGTATAAGAAAGTTATTAATATTCTTATTATATTTTTTTAATTATTATTAATAATCAAGAAGAATTTATTTTAACAAAATATAAACAAGTTTTCTAAGAAATTATCTTTCTATTTTCAGTATATACATAATGATGACATGAATGATGACGATATCTTCATTAACACCAACTCCACAAATATATCAATTTATTTTATAATTAAAAATATTTTTAAATTATTATATTCTTAATTGTTATTATATAAATTTTTGTAAGATTATAATTTAAAATAACAAAATTTAAAATTAGTGACAGAATTACGACAGAATAGAATTAGTGATGAAATTAGTGACAAAGACTTTTGCGACAAACAATTTAGCGACGGAATTAGCAACGGAAATTTCTGACAGAAAAAATTCCGTCGCTAATTATTTATTGACGGATTTTCTGACGGATTAGCGACGGAAAGAAATTCTGTCACTAATCCGTTGCTAATATTAGCAAAGGAAAAATTCCTTCGCAATTCCATCGAAAAAATTAGCGATGGAATTTGTTTCTGTTGCAAATTCCGTCGCAAATTAGCGACGGAATTTTTTTCCGTCTCTAATTAGCTGTTTTTTTGTAGTGTCCTGCAAATTAGTTATATAGCTTTTATGTTAAAAAGCAGGTGTAGAATTAAATTTTAAGAAAATTGTACAAAGATGTACCTTTCTTCAAATCTAAAGGAAACTCTTATAAATCAAGGTTGTAATTAATTGTACCTAAATACAATTATTATCACCATCTCAAATTGATGTGAGTGATAGAAGCTCTTGTTATTTAATTAAGCAAGTAATTGGAGCTTGAATCCCAACCCTTACATATTTAATTATTTTGATCCTTATTATATGGCATCTTCCTAAATTAATTTGGTCTTAGATATAAATCATCAACTAACTCATTAACTGCTGCT